TGCTTGACCACCTTTTTCGTTTGCACCAAGCAACAATCTTAAATTACTGTTGTATATCTGTTGCATGTGTCTTTATGCTTTCTATATCTTCTATGCAATCATCGATTTCTTTTTGTTGTTTTGCCACAGACGGAAGGAAGCTCTATATTTGTTGGATTGAATTTTCGACAACTTTGTTTATTTCATATATACAATGGTCTTGTATCTTATCGAGGTGATTATTTATCTGCTCTCGAATCGCTGATATCTCGGACTCTATTTTGTTTTTCGAAGCAGATAATGATAATATATTCGTTTGTCTGTCTTCCAGAATAATTCTTAGGTTTTCCTTCAGTTCTTGGAGCGAGGAATCGATTTATGTTAACTTTACAGATGTTTTAGCATTTTGAATGACATCTTCAAGTGGTGAAAGTTCTTTACATTTCCTGTGCTTTTCAGAAATAACACATTTTCTACACAACACTTCGTTATGGTCCTTGCAAAACAATAAGTACTTCTCGTCATGCTCATCGCAGTACAGCTTAATATCTACAATGAAGGATGGCAAATTGTGGTATTCAGCGATAGGAACAGTCTTGTGGTTTCGTGTTCCCTTAGACAAGCTATGATGTTCTTTGCAGTCTTGGCATAGTCCTTCATCGCAGTCTGGGCACCAAACCACGGATATCTTAGAAACATGTCTTAAATTACAAATACCACAGTGATCAAAAAAGGAAGCCATGACCTGTAAAATAATCTATACATTAATATAAAGAATCACATATGTTTAAATTTAGAGTGTAGATAAAACATTAATTTACAACTTTACAATGATTTATGATAATATAAAAGATAAGTGCTGCTGCATTATATTTTCCATCGTTATATTTCCATAATGTATTGTTGTCAAATAAATCAAATATCATCTGATAACGAAATATATACAGTGTATGCTTTTTACTTCGTATTTGATTTGACTTATATACGGTTATGCTCCTAATATGAAAATAAGATTTGCTATAATTGACATTGAGACAACTCCCCACCACTCTCCACCAGACACCAAAAGACATAGAAGTTATAACTAGATGTAACTGTACCGCCTTAAACAATGAGCAAAACCCACCTAGCATAGTCAGCAACGCCACTGATGATACTTATGTAGTTGGGACTTGATACTTACAGAAACAGAAACACTTATCTTATTCACAGAAAATAGCGTATACATATTAATAAACCATGTAAATGTTGTCAATTCCACATGAACCATTTTAGATGGTCAAGAACGCTTTCCAATAATTCCTTGTATAAAAAAAATGTTGGATGTTACTAATGGTCACTGAAGATATAACAAGATCACGAATAATCAATGAACTATATTAAATTAAGGCCATTATCAGACAAAGAGTAACACCTTTTAATCTGTATGTGTTAGATCTAGGTAACCTATAATCCCTTATAGTATGATAAAACAGAATCATTTTGATTGAGTATTTCAAGATAGTTAAAACTCGAATTATTTCAAACTTGAACAATTGTATTCGTTGTTTAAAACTCATCATGTATCTGTTGAATTTATTGTTGATTGCAGACATGTTATTTTAGAAGTTTAAATTGTTGACGTTTTAATTTTAACTACTTCATATCTATTTGGTTTTGTTGTGATGTGGGGTTTCATCCGCGTATACTACTTGTTTTATTCATATTAATTCAAATTTCAGAGTGAATGCTAAAGACTATGTTGAAGTTGTTTTTAATTCTTGTATTATACTGATAAAAGGTCAAACATTAACACAGTTTAGTCTCTAGTTTCATTTATCTGCATATAAAGTCTTACAGAGGCATTTCAACGTTATATATTATTGCTTGAATCTAGCTTCCATACAATTTTTCTTGTAATTGTTATAAAATAAATCAAATAACATAATTAGAAACCTAATCTTGATTCATATCCAATGTTTAGAAATTTACCTGTGACGTTACTTTTTGTGGCGTTGATACATTCGTGTGACAGATTTTTTTGTGTACTGTCCTAAATTAATTTTTGTTATTCGTTGTTATTCTGTGGTAAACAAGTCGAAACGTACTATTATATTATTTGTTTATGTATTTCTCTGTCTTGGGTGTTCTTGCAACCATTTGTACTGTATTCCCGTCATGTAATGTTGTCATATTTGCGGTATATTTAACATTGCCAGAAAGCGCGAGGTTTGGCTAGCCACAAAACCATGTTCAACCCACCATTTTTGTTTAAAATGTCCTATGCCAAGTCAGAAATATGGCAGGTGCTATCTAATAGTTCGTTTCTCTGTATGTTGCATTGACGTTTGTTTTTTGTTGCACTTGAGTGTTCTGTTGTTTCGTTGTTTTCCTCTTATAGTTGATGTGTTTCCCTCTGTTTTAGTTTTGTAACCCGGATTTGTTTTCTTTCAATAGATTTATGACCTTTGAACAGCGGTATACTACTGTTGCATTTATTAACAAGGGAAACACTATGTAATTTTAGAGTAGACAACTGGAGTCTACTGGTAAACTTTTTGACACATATTTGAATGTTATTATGAGGAAAAGTTTTACCTTAACTTTTCCATTTTCCATTTTCATGAATTTGTTCAGTCAACTTCATGGGTGCACGCTTCACTGTGTCATCAATGTGCTGAATCAATCAGGACATGTTTGAGTTAGAATATTGTGTTGTTTATTTTTTAGTTTCCGCCTATATAACGATTAACTTTGATAGCTCTTGTACATACCTTAAATTCAATAAAACATCAGAACAATAACCCTGTTCCTCAAATTTTTACAAATTCAATTCTGTGTACTGTATAAGGAAGTAAACAATACGTCATAAGCAACAGGTAGGATAACTTTGAAATAAAATCAATAACGTATTTCAAAGTTCAACTTATAAATACCTTACGTTGTTTACATTTTCTATAATTTTGAAATGGTAACTCTTTACAGATAGTTTTATGATAAAATAGACAACAAAAATAGGACGGCCTGCTCCTTTACTTGTATGTTGAGGTGTAAGACTTACTTTGCAAAATTTTACATTGTATAAACTTTAGCAGGCGAGTGTCCGTAAAAGATTGTAAATGGCAGTTCGAGAAATGATATTTCCCTCATAATATTTGCAAATGTTTTTCTTATTAAGGATAAAAAAATTGAAATCAATAATTCTTTATTTGCGAAACAAACAAAAACCAATGTTGGTCATAGCAAATACATAGACAAAACAAACATAAGAATCAATTGAACTTGGTGACAATACTTTTTTAATTTTTTTTATGGAGAAAATGAAATTTTATTTTATTGTACTACATGGATAAAACCAGAGGATTCCGAATATCTGGCAAAAATTCTAAAATAAGTGGAGCGAACATTTTTATCTTAAGGAAGTTCGCTACTCAGTTTCAAAATAACAAGCTTTTCATAAAATTATTATATATTGATAGGAGATTAATAAAGGAGCCAAAAGAGCGAAAAAATATATAGGTCCGTGTGCTTGTTTTGGAGATATTAGCCATTGAAATTTTGGCGGGCAAATGTTCTCTCTTGATTTTTCATAGCTTTATCATTGACAAGTTTAAGTTCTCAAAAACTATTATAAAATAACAAAGATTTTATTAGACTTTTACAGATGGCATATAATGGTTTACAATCACGTAATTTTAAACGCCGGATCCGCCTAGACGTTAGCGGTGGTTTAGCGTGCGTTTTATTTTCAACGAGACGCTTGTAACGAATGTAAACTATGGCGGCGGCAAAATACAGCCTGTGTAACGTCCCAAAATTGAAGGCTGAACTGAGCATTAAGGGTACAGTAATCACAGGAAGAAAGGCAGATCTGATTGATATGTATATGGTGAACTAAATCATGTCAAATGCATACATTGCACAATTTTTTATAGGCTGATCACGACTTTAACGTCTGCTTATGTACAGTGAGTACGTGGAAAAAAACGTCAAAAGTAACTGTCAAATTCTTTATGTTGCATACATTTCATATAAAAAATATTTTGTTGGTATTCATTGTTAGATTTTGATGAACTTGGCACCAAAAGAAGCGGAAATGCTTAAAGTATAATTTTGTATATTTGGTAATGATATTTTGTCAATTGTTTTTCTTTTCTCTTGATCTAAACAATGTACTTTTTTAAACAATTTGATTTAGTTGAAATATAGAACAATCTTATCACAGGCCCTTGTTTCCATCAATGGGAAGGTCTACATTCCATGTCCTTTTATTATACAATAACATGGATAGAAGACCTTCCCAGTGATAGAAACAAGTGCATGTGAAGCTTATGAACAAAACAATAACATGCAAAAAATAATCATTGTCTTTATACTGTATCAATATAATAAAATATTAATTCTTCACAACAAAATTTTAACCAAATAAATAAATGCTTTTAAATGTCCTTATTATTACATAAGAAATAAATTGTTTTAATTTTGAATTCACACACAATAATTATGCTTATAGACTGGTTGCATATGACAAAAATTATAATTTCCAACCACCCATCATAGAAATTCCAGAAGCTAGATAGAACGGCCAAAACATAGATATAAGCAGCTTATAGCAGAACATAGATTGGTATTTTCCAAAGTGACCAGAGAGCAAATTGATGGCTATTTTTTATTTAGATTAGCAGGTTAGTATCTCCATGTTATAGGTGGGGAAGTATTTTAAAGTGAAAGTTACCAAGCAAGAAGTCATCAATCAGCAATTGCTATAATGCTTTGCATGAAGAACCAAAACATGTAGCGGCGCCCATATTAAAAAATTTTTGTAATTTTCACCGTTACGTGTCCTCTAAAAAACCCGAAAATCATTTTTATAATATTATTTATATATATATGTTGTTATTTTAACAGGCGATAAGCAGGTGAATGGCGACATTAAGGCATTTGAGAAAGGCAGAGATTTGCTACAAGCGAAAAAAATCCTTGCCTGTTCTGTACTTATTCTAGTTGATGGTATTTTTTTAAGTGGTATTGTTGGAGCAGCAATGAAAAAACAGGTTTGCATCAATAAACAGTTTGTCCCATCCTTATGATATTTATATAATGTGTATTAGATTGTTATATGTGAAATATTCCATTTGAGTGAATTACCTCGTCTAAGATCAAATAAGTGTTAATGATTTCTGCTTGATATTTTCCAATTTTCATGATTATTCTCTGTTACTTTTCTAATAACTATTATTGTATCTCTTTCAGTTTACTTATATTAGGTGAACGCTCTGCCAAACCAATTTATGCTTTACTTGACATTTTCAAATAAAACCATCTGATTTATTTTTAAAATTAAGCTTCACTTAATTTTTTTATTTGCAGGTATCTTACAACTATCATATCAAACTTGACAAATCTGGCAGCCCAGTGAATTCAAAGTGTGAATGTCTAGCAGGAAAGGGTTCCAATGCCACCTGCAAGCATGTTGCTGCAGTGCTGTTAATGGCTGATATTTTCTCTAATACTGGAGAAATTTCAATACAGAAATCATGTACAGAAGGTTTACAGACTTTTCAACAACCAAAGACATATTACAATGGTAACTTATTTTACCTGAGTGTCCTGTAAAAGCTATTAATTTCAACCAAAGAATTGAGAGAATAAACGAGTTTCATTTCTTTATATGTTTATGCCCCACCATAGACCAACAGTGCATGAGTTTTACGTCGTTATTGTTTTAAAGAGTTAAACATATATGGAAACATATGTCAAAGTTCAGAAACTATATCTCCGACAGGCCTTTAACTAGAGTTTTTGTTTTTTGTTTTCCTTCATTTTCCTTTATTTTATATTTTAGGTGCTCCAGTGAAAATTGAAAAACTTGCTAAAAGGAAACCAACAGAAATATTAGAGGACCCAAGACCACAGAAGTACAGAAATATGGAAGGGTTTACAGACCATGTCAGAAACACCATGATTAATTTTTGCTCTCAATCATCTCAAGACCTTACACTGAGATATATTTTTCCTGCAGCTGATATACAGGTACAATGGAAGTTGATGATTCATAAGAAAAACTTGAAAAAATATTTTTATTTTAAATAAAATTAACAAATTTTAGGTAATACAAAGAATAAAATTAACTTTAAACAACATTAACAATTTATACAGTCATATATTAGTAATAAACCTGTTTGAATCACACACATGATAAAGACAAAAATTTGCATGTTCTTGATTTTTGGAAAATTTACATTGCCTGTCGATTTTTAAACATACCACTTGTCTTGTAAAGTCAAATTTCTGGTGCTCACATAATACAATCTAAAAAACTATATATTAACAAAAGAAAGCAAGTAGCCTTCAGTTTTCATATTGCCAAATTCACTGTTATATGTAGTATATCTATATAAATTTTGTTAGTCAAAGGAAGATAACTCCATGTTTAAAAAATAATTCATATCATGTACATTGTAGTTAGATTTATGCACATGGCTTCTTTAATATTATTTTAAATTTGTATTGCAGACTGCCCATCTTGATCATGACTATCTGTCGTTATCATTTGCTGAATATTGGGTTGACAGAGCTTTAATGGTAAGATGAACAATTCATTTGCAGTATCAATTTATGTGTAAATCAATAAAAGGCAACTCCAAAATATCTTATGTACAATAAATATTAATGTATATAAACTCTTAAATAATTTTTATACTAAAATTTAACAATTCACAAACCCCGAATAAGGAATATTTAGCTAGCATTTAGCATAGAGGGTACCACTAACCAGACAATTTACCGATCTTTGTTGTACTCAAAATAGTTGAGTCTTTAATTATTTCGTTTCATTTTCAAAATGGGATAGTTTTCACACTTTTAAACATGTTTGAATTTATATTCAGTACCAAATAACTAATATTTCAATGTAACACATCTTATGATTGAATGCATGTTTTTGTTTCTTAATAAAGTTAAAAGGATTGAGTGAATTCATGAGATATCCTATAAACTACATAAAATATCTTATATAAAAAATAATCAAATATTTTATCTTATAAATTTTATCTTACATGTCTTATATATAGATTATAAGATATCTCATATAATTATCTTTATAAGATATCTTATAAATTATATGAGATATCTTACAAACTATATGAGATATCTTATATAGTTTATAAGATATATTGTATAGTTTATTAGATATCTAATATAGTTTTTAAGAAATCTTATATAGTTTATAAGATATCTCATAAAATTATATGAGATATCTTACAAACTATATGAGATATATCTAATAAACTATATGTGATATCTTTTAAACTATATAAAATAAAAAAAACTACTTGCTACATTTACATGCTGGAAATATTGATTTCACTGCTATTTTTGGTAACAGTACAACAGGCAAAATTTGCTGAAAAGGAGACAGAAGGGCAATCCAGCAACAAGAAATGGTTTTATTTAAGACAGTGGAGGATAACAGCATCTAGGTTTTGAGAAATTTCAAAGATGACCACAAGGAAAAATGTACAAAAACTATGTCAATCATTGTGCTCTCAAAAGTTCCTAAATGTAAAATCTGTATTGCATGGTAAAATGTACGAGCAGAAGGCAATATCACAGTTTGAACAAAAGTTTTAATTGAAATGTCAACCATGTAGACTGTTTATTTCTGCTGACAAACCATTTCTTGGAGCTTCCCCAGATGCTTTAATTGGAGATGATTGTGTTGTGGAGGTGAAGTGTCCATATACAGGACGAGATGAGAGTATTGTGCCAGGAGTTAATTTTTCTTTTTTGGAATATGGCAAAGATAACAATATATCATTAAGAAAATCATCAAAATATTACAACCAAATTCACGGTCAACTTTTTTTATCACAGATACAACATTGTTATATTATTGTTTATACATTTAAAGACCTCTTTGTTGAGAAAATTGAAATTAATCATGACTACTGTGTTGGTTGTCTGCTTCCAAAGTTGGAATTATTTAACTCCAAACACTTAAGGCCATATATTGCCTAAATGCTATAAAAAATTAATAAATTAATGAGACTTTATATTTTCTATATTGTTATTTTCTTAATTTTTTATCAGTGAGTTTGGGCCGGTCATTTTGAAAGTGACACCTACGTGCATTTTTGAACCACCCTTTGAAATTTATGCAAAATTTGTTATCCTCCTTACTTATTTAGAATCAATTCAGCCCCCCTCTTTTTGTGAATAATTCTCAATTTACGATATTTGACCCCCAGTAAAATAAGTAATTATAATATTTCCATCTGCAAAAATTGATACCCTATTTTGAGTTAATACAAAAGTTGAATCTCCTTTTACATTTACAGAAAAAAACTTGTAAAATCCTCATACATTTTGACCAGCCCTTAACCTAGATAAAAATTATATATAAGTTACATATTACAGATGATTTTTATTCGACTAGATACCAATAATGCTGCACTTGATAAAAAGCACCTTTTCGGATTATCACAATCTTTTCAATATTGATTGATATTGAAACATTGAAATACCAAATAAACATACTAAAGGCAATAAAGAGCATTAGGCACCGAAAATCTCATAAATATGACAAGCCAAAACTAGTTAAAAAGTATAATTAATTAGTGGAAACATCTCAGGAAGTATACTTTGAAACTATAAAAATAAGGTCAATTTTACTTTCTTCGGTTAAATTACAATATTAATATAAAAAAATGGGATCCTTTGAAAATCTCGACAAATTTATCAACAATTGCATTTTTGAAATTTGTCAATGCCTAACAAACAAATACAATTCTGTTACTCAGTGACAGTTTAATGTTTGGTAATTCAGACTTAAGAATTTTGAAACGTTTGGCTAATCCTATTACACATTCTATATTGATACGCTTAGATGCAACACGCCTATCCCTCACAATTTCTTCTGGCTCTAGTTGTGATTTTCCTTTCAGCATTGTAGGCGTATTAACATAAGCATCATTGTTTGCAAAGAGGTCTTGAACCATAATGCGTCGATCCGCCATAATATTATCCCCAGATTCAAACCTTGTTTTATCTAAAAGACTTGAGTCTTCAATAATCTGACTGTTACTGGTAGATCCCCCATAGCAGACTGAAATATACGATATAGTACCTCTTGGGGTACACCCAACCATAGTTTTCACAGTATTTTTGTGTTTGTAGGAAGACCAAGTCACACTCTGAATGTTTACGTCTTGAGATTTCTGGATTGGAATCTCAGTAGCATCAAGGATAACTCGAGTCCTTGGAAATTTTCTTTGACAATCTACTGGCATATGCTTATCCACAATGTCTTTTGATGAGCAAATATTTAATTCCTTCAGTTGAAAATAAAGGAAGTTAATCCAGGTATTAAAAATCCTAGCAATGGTAGAAACAGATAAATTAATTAGCAAGGATAATTCTACATCTTCTTTGGCACATCTGAGTTTAATCAATGTTATAAATAGCTGATCAGATGGATGAAGGCTTGAACATTTATATTTGAGCTCATATGCAGCAGGACCTAGTGCATGGAATAAGAACATGAAATTTTCATAAGATTTAAAACCTGTATAAAATGAAACTGCCTTTGAATTGTCCATGAAATTCTCAATCGAATACCGACCAAGTAACTCACACTGGATCTCCATGTCCTTGGGTACATGTACATGTACCAAGTAACTCACACTGGATCTCCATGTCCTTGGGTACATGTACATGTACCAAGTAACTCACACTGGATCTCCATGTCCTTGGGTACATGTACATGTACGTCAGGCTCTGAAGGTATGGAAATATTGGTACTATTCTGTGTAGACTCAACTTCAACCTCTTGTTGTATTCCTTGGTCAAGAGCTTTGTCCACACACATAGCTTTTCTCGATTGCATTCTCAAAGCTCTAGAGCTTACAATATTTATTTTGGGACGAAAGCTAAACACTGATGGTACTGAATCTATCTTTAGTCTACTTCGATCACCTGGAAACAAAGCATGAAACTGATCTTAAAAATATTACACACATGTGCTTGGAAACAATTTTTTTTATTTGGGCAATAAAACTACCTCATACATTCATTCTGCTTTATTTTTTGTTACCATTGCAGTGGGGATAGTACATGTATAACTTTACATACATTTTATAAATAATAATCAAGGCCAGGCTTATTAAGATTTTTTTTAATAGCGTTTAACAAGAAATCTTTGTTCAACATGCAATCACACTTATTGAGTAAGTTGGTCTATGACAAATAACCAAGTCTCCATGTTGCAGATGTGACCTATAATTGGTTGTATTTACAACTTAAGTAACTTTGTTGTGTGAGTCAAGGCTCCATGTTGAAGGCTGTACTGTAAACTTCATGCATAATTGCTTATGTTTATACTTTATGTATTCAATGGAGGGTACGTAGTCCCATTGGCAATCATAATACCACATCTTCTTAGGTTTAAATTATTTCAATTTGTACTTCATTAACCCTGGAGTGAATATATGCATGTAGTAAAACAACACATCGATAACAAACAGCTAATTTTAAATTATGAGCCACTTAAATTTTTTACATACATTTGTAACTCCCATTTACATCAAGTTAACTGAAAGTAGGAGATGACAGTTAATTTTTTTTTTATTTATCTTTTAAATTCTGAAATTATTTTGACCCCAATTTTCCATTGTTATGATCATATTATTATTAAGAAAAATGAGGAATTCTTTTGTCTATCTATTAACTTATGCCTTACTCAAATTCTCTTTACTTGTAGTCTTCCTGAAAATGTAAAACGAAACCACAAAGCAACACAAACTTTATAACACAAATTCATGCTAAAACAATAACAATCTTTTTCAGAAACAATGTCAGTCAGCTGTGATCATAATGATTGTGCCCAATACATGTGATCCTTGAACATTTACAGGTGTTTAGTAATACAATTTATAAAAAAATACAAACACATTGTTATATTAGAAACGGTAAAACACAAGCTTGAACAGTTGGTATAACTTGATATCAATACAAAGCTACTTACATGTATGCTGCTAGTTTTACAGAAAAAATGATATATTTTTTTTTATTTAATGTTTACCTACCACCCCCTAAAAACCCCCTTTCTGGTCACTAAAAATCCAACTTCTGACATTAATTCATGCCGTAATAGAATACGAATAAACTACACGTAGATCATACAAAATTTACCTAATAATGTCTCCTTGTAATCATTTGCTGTAAAATGTTGATGGCAAACAATGTCGTGTTTTCCCGGTTTTCATAGACCTTTGGTAGGGTCAGATCTATGTCAATCATTGTGCTCTCAAAAGTTCCTAAATGTAAAATCTGTATTGCATGGTAAAATGTACGAGCAGAAGGCAATATCACAGTTTGAACAAAAGTTTTAATTGAAATGTCAACCATGTAGACTGTTTATTTCTGCTGACAAACCATTTCTTGGAGCTTCCCCAGATGCTTTAATTGGAGATGATTGTGTTGTGGAGGTGAAG